TACTCTGGTTTTTCTTTGGGTGCACAACAATTCTGTGCATTTACTTGACACTTTTGCCCATTTGATAAACAAAATGTATGTATAGGCTTGAGTTAATTATGAGCCACTATATGCAAAATCCCCAAGTGTGTATTAAAAAATAAATAACATCGCACCACTCGTGTGTGTGAAGGTTCTCAGTCATCCAGGTCATCACAGTCTACGGTCCTTAGATCGCACCGCTCAGCACGTGAGAGGGGGTACTCATTTCATAAGTAGGTTTCTGTTTAAATGTCATGTGTGTCACACTGCTGGCTCTAGCCCGTATTATAACTAACACCAAAGAGATAGATAAACAGCACTTTCGAGCATACACGAAGGGCCTCATCAAGGAGCATTAGGTACCAGCTTCACACAACAAACACCAGGTTCCGGTGTACCTTTGTGTTGTGTGTACCAGTGAAGTAAGTGTGCGATACATGCTTTCACTCTCCAACCTCAACCTTCGACTCTAACAGTGTTCGTCCCACAGAGAGAGACAAGCAAAAAAACAAAAACTGAAATTCAGAGAATCGGCCGTCACGCTGCTGTAGCCCTAGGTGACTGTATTTGTAGGTCAAGTTCAGTTTAGTAAGTAGTTAACACCATCCGGGCCCCTCATTTTTCTCTTCAGTCTCTTCCCCCCTTTCTTCTTGTGGCATCCTTTAAGACCTGCAAGTTTAGTTTACCCTGCTACATTTCCTCTCGTCCTTTGTATGATCTGTTTACAAAACTTTCTGTAATGCATTTATGCCACATTTTGACAATTGTAAAATGTCTTGTTCATATTCTGATCATCTCTAAAACAATCCAATTTCATTCTGAAGCTCACCGTGAAAACATTAATTATCTAAAGTACACTGTATCTTTTTGGTGCTCTAACTAATAAGGAGAGTTAAGTCACTAAGAAGCACGTTTCCCCCGTCGTTGCTGCCTGTAATTCCAGTAGGTATTGTACCAACATGGAACATCCTGTTTTTTCTCCACAGAAACTCTGCTGGGATTGGAGAACAGGACCAGAGCACTCTGTCTTTGTGGATTAGCCACAGACACATATGTTTCCATGGAGCAGGTCAGGCTAACGAAGGGCTTTCATTCGTTTAATACCCTCTCTCCCTCTGTAGCATGAGTATTAATCTGGGAGCTGAGGGACTTCAGGAATAGTTATTGTCCTTTAAGCTCAACTATAACAGCACGGACTTAGTGGATAATAACTACTCCAGGGTCAGCCAAATTTTTATTTCTCCTGTGGCTGTTGAAGTCATTCTTCATCTGTGGATGTGTTCTAGAAACAACCCTCCCCGCAGGCATAAAACAGCAGCAAGGGGTGTATTGCGTTGCGTTTTTGACATTCCACTGTGGCTCCCTGAGGATAAACTGGAGGCTCTGAGACTGGACTGGCACGATAACAGCAGCAACAACTATATTTCCTGTTATTGAGATGTGGACAGAGAAACAAGGGATTGCTGTGGTCAAGGGAAATAAAAAAAAAAAAATGCTGATATATTTCCTTACTTCAGTAATAGAAAAACAGACCAACTTTGTGGAGAGATAAGAAGGTTATCAAGGTCAATACTAATGCACATCAATGTTTATGTACTTTTAGACAGCTCAAACAAACCCAGTAGGCAATTGCTGATACAAAGCCACCAACTGAGCTGTGCTTTCCAACGGACAAGAGGTTTTTTGATTGAGTTACCTAAAAAAGAAGTTAATTATGTTTTATTAGGATGCATACTGAACATTTCTCACCGGTGACTCACAATTTCTTAAAAATCAGGGAGGAGAATAAAGCTGAAGCTTTTGTTACTTGCCATGTGTAGTTCTGACAAGTTTATTTGGATAATCTTTGGCAATTACACTGCAACGTGCTTCACAGCGCCAACAAAACAAATCAAAACAGGTATAACACCACTCTACGATGCACAATATTCCCTTAACAGTTACTTTCAAATGACTGATTTAAAGTCAGATTTGAACAACAACAAGCAGAGTTGGGCATGACTGCACATTTAAGGTCAACTGCATTGCATTCCAGCTCCAAAGGAGCTGCAGGAGCTGATACGTGCAATAACAGAGACACTGCAACACAAGTCACCAACACTGGGAATACTGAGAATCCATGTTCAGAAGAAGGCGCAGTAAATGCTGCAGAACAAACACAGCTAAAGGGCATCTGTGACTCGAGCCTGATTTATGCAACAGCACAATGAAGCCACAGCAGTGTTAGATAGATCTTGGAAACTCTCTGATAGCACCTGTCAGTGAGCTGAGTGGCTTCTCAGGGTTAAGAGAAGAGAGGCGGTATTTCATCTTGACAAAAAGAATGCAGCGTGTGGCTTTCAGAGGAGAACATGGAGCCTTAGTTTTTAGCTCAGTAAAAGGGTTTTTCAAAGCACTAACAGTACCCAAACAACAGACTCAAGTGGACAGAAAGCACCAAATTCCTCAAAGCTAAGTGTCAAACCCCCTACCAGACCAGAAGAATAAGCCATTACTGGCAAATTTTTCAGAAGCCTCTGGCAAAAGGAACCATAAGAACGAATAGCACGGTCAATACAGGGAAATGAACAGATGTTAGTTATTTGGACATACCCTGCATAATTGCATGTAAAGCATGGGTGTAAAACTCATTGTAATCTGCGTGCCACAGAAATCCCAATTTGATTTTGAGTGGGCCACACACTACATCCATTGCATAATACCCAATAAAAAGCCCTCTAAACTGATTCTCTTTCTGTAAATATGTTTAGGTACACACAGATAACCCTAACATTTCTTTATCTTTACAAACCTGATGAGCAGTCTGACATATCTCAAGTTAAATATGTCCCAGTTTTTCCACGCTGCAAAAAATACAACTGTATGCAAGCAAATAAAAATCTGTTAGACTGGCTCCCACACTTTGTTTGACACCACGGATGTAAACCAAAAATGAAAGCGGTCCTCACACAAAGAACCTGGTCTGTGTTGGTACAGTGCATCAGAAGTAGACATCGGTGTTCATGTTGGCTTCCCACAAGCCCAGGATGTTCTTATTGCTGCATAACTGTACTGCTGTGGTGACAGACCTACTACTATAGCGGAAGTGAGAGGAGAGGTTTCACTGGGTTGAGAAAGAAAAAAAAAAAAAAAAGAGCCACCAAGGGTTGTGACGCACCATTAAGTCTGCTCTGCAGTGTCTGCAAAAACACTCACTGCAGAGAAAAGTCACAGGGAGGGGAAGAGACTCCAAATGCAAACTCAGCTTCAAACTGACTGCAATGTCCATTTTACCCCAGCAATAATTCAAATTACCAACACCGTATTGTGCATGAGTCATAATGTCACACAATACAAAATTAAAAGCTAAAGAGGTCCGCCGTCTGTTGCTGGCCTAGTTTAAAAACATCAAGGGGTTACTCCATTAGTTTTGTCCCATCTTCAAAAAGCACACGGGGTGGATTATCTGGGGCTTACAAATTACATACAAGTCAGTTTCACTATTATTACCGTTTCCCCCCAGTGTACAACCAGGTGTGGGTACGGGCCATCTATTTATAGCCATCTCTTTGCCTGCTGCTCAGTCCAGCCTGTGCTAAGGAGATTTAGTGTTCCTGCATCCTGGTTCTTGTCCGTGTCGAAAGCTGATTTCCATTTAAAGAAAACTGCACCTGCAGCACAACACAGTGCTGAAGGGAGGTGAAACTACAAACCAACTTCATGCAGGAATTTAAATAGATAATTAAGAAAAAAGTACATATCGCTGACGTTATCAGCACAGTAGAGCTGTTTGTCTAAAACTGGTGGTTGTATAATCAGAGCGAGTGCCTGCAAACGTGTACTGATACCACATTACTGACAAGCAGCAGCTGAGGTCAAAGCACTGCTGAGCAAAGCATCCATTGGGCTTGTTTTTACAGAGCAGTTTGCCTCATTCTTTTCTCCGTATAAAAGCAAAACAGGTCTCACTTAAATGACAGACCATTGCTATGACAAGTGAATCTGATTCATGTTACAGACCCAGAGTTGTCATGACACCACAGCAGGAAAAGACATTACACCATAGGGGTTTAGTCAGTTCTGTTTTCCTGTGAACAAACTCTTACATCAACCATCTCCCTGCCCCTGCAGCTCTCCAGCAAGGAGAGATTAGTGAATATGTGAGACAGGCTAAATGCCAAAAAAGGGTAACAGAACAAGTCCAAATTTGAGGGATGGAGAACACAAATGGCACTAGGAACACTTCTAAGACACCCATTTAGAAAAGCGCAAAAAGAAGAGAGGAACAAGTAAATCTATTCTGTGCACTTGACACAGGCACTCGTGGCTGACAGTGTACAAAAAACACACTAAAAGCAAAGCAGGGCAGTGAATTTTTTATGCTGCAAGCAGACTACCGGCACAAAGACTGGTGGGACTTTCAGTTTGCCATAAAAACACAGTCTTGTTGTACATTCAGCTACCAACAAGTGTGCACAGTGGTTCTACATCTTACTGAACAAATGAACAGATCTTAAACCACAAGATGACAAGCCACATGAGGCAGTCAGCTGTTTCGGGGGGCTGCATGGCCCATGAGTGTGAGTGTTCCTTGCATGGGTTTGACCTCCTAATTATCTACCAAATCTAAAGCTGAGTGGGAGGCATCATTTAGTGCCTTTTATCTGTCTCTTCACAGGATTACTTTGAAACGACCAAGTCTACGTCTGTAAAAACCTTGCGGAGAGGTCTACAAACCTTCCAAACAGGCTATTGAGGATGTTCTCTTCTAGCTACGCTACAGTTTATCGTTGCAGTTAATCATTGGCTTCTTAAAGACTGTAACACAAAACAGACTGCATGCATTTTCAATCTCTGAGCTACTCACATGCAAGGTGCATAATTCAGTGACTAACTCCAAACCTTTGAAGCAACCACCTGTGTACATTGCATAACTGCATCTATTGCATACGAAATACATGTGAACAGGTGGTAGAGCGAGTAAAGATAAAAACACTTACCGCCATCACCAGCTCAAAGGGATGCTTGTACACCCGCACAGGTGACTGGTATTTCTGCACCAT